GTGTCTGCGTTATTCACATTTGTTACGTAGGAGCAATGGTATTCCAATTTTACAGTAGTATGTGCAATTTCTCAATGTTTCCTCTGGCTTTGGTGTTTGACGGAGTTGATAAGCTTGCGATGAAATCTTGTCAACAAGCTCTGTAAAAACATAATAATAAAATAAACATTGAACTTTGCAATCAAATGTATTATCCATAAGTCTTAATATACTTGCACTTTCCACGTAAATCATCTTAGGGTAACTAATCCATCTACTTGCACATACAACCAATATTAATTACATCGCCTACTTTCAGTCGTATTCGAGGATTTTCGTACACCCAACGACCATTTTTGGGCGAATATCAACAGACATCTCTCCAGCTTCACGATTCGCCATTTCTTTGTTCACATTGCCATGGAAGCAAAAATTTGCACACCGTCTGAATCTGAAAAAAATGAAAAAACGTGCGCTTTTGGAAAAATTCGGAGTCGATTTAATATTCAAGTCTTAAAATAATAGATATAGATGATCCGCTTGTAGTATATTAAATCGAATGAATCGATGAAAGGTGTTTTACAATTCGATTCAATAGGTTACCCAAATTGTGTGTTTTTCACAAAATTATTTCAAGCAAATCATCAAGAGCATCTAAGTAGCACATTTTTTTCCGCGAGGCGAAACCTGCAAAGTGGGCGGGCAGCAAGGATCGGACGTACGGGCGAGAAGTTCGTCCGGTATGGACTTTAAACCGCCGAATTTCCTTTAAGCAGACCAGCGCCTTACCAATAGTTGAAACGCATATTTTGAAAATATTTTTTTTAAACTGAATGGTGGTATTTCATGACCGACATATAGTTCAGTCTGGCCCGCAGTCTGTCAGAGTGCCCCAGCAACTTTTTTGATATTCTTGTACGTAAAGAAGGTTTGGGCGGTATGTAATGTGCTAAATGATTGTATTATTCGTGAAGATTTTGATGAGTCATATTGTATGGTTCATGAAGCTGATCGTTATGATTCATGATATATATCTATTAATTTATTTGCAGTGTATATGTGAGAGTATTTATTTGTTGTTCTTGAACAGTGTTGTACTCTTTTGGAGATTACGTTGTTTGTTCAACATTACGTTGTTTGTTTAACCGTATTGCTGCTGCAGGCCACATTATTATTATTATAATTATTTATTATTATATATTATTATTATTATTATGCTGACTTGAAGGATTATAGCGCCGACTTGGAGCACACGTCATGCACTTGCATTTACCGGAGCACAGTAACATTTCTCGTGTGTAAGGTGCTTTAATGTATCATGGTCAGCATTTAGCTAGATCTGATTTTATTTCCAAGGTTTGTTAGCTCTGGGGTATGAACGATGAGATTGAATGATATGATGGAGTGTAGTGGGTAAAGGGCGACAACACATACAGACATTCCCAAACAAACCCATACTCGAGGTGGGATCGAACCTGCGATCTTCTGGTCCGAACCGCTACGGCACTCTTGATGATCTTGTCATTTGATCAGTCTTAATAATAATAATATTATTATTATATTATATTATTATTATTATTATTCGCGGCACTACAGGCTGTCGGGTTCGTCGCAGACGAGGTCTATAGGACAGGCGAGCATTGTGTTTTGCGGTCTTTCCGAGAGCACAAGCGATTGTCATCTGATAATACACGTACTAAATCTTATGATTTTAATTCCCCGCTTGATAATTGTCTCTGAGAGCCTATGTCAAATAGTCCTCCCGACGTGTGCAACTGAGTAATCTATCTTAGGCCCTTCCCTGTCATGCAGTATTACGAAGCATACCTGTGGTAATACGTGGCCCCCCACCCAGGCGCTTGTGCCTTGGTACTTTGGGGTAGGGATCCAGTTACTCAGTTGCACACGTCGGGAGATTTCACACAGGTCTCGACAATCAAGGCAGTGGATAATGAAGATTTGGGTAGTGTGATTATCAAGGGATTGGCAATGTCTCGTGCCACAAAAACAACTGAGTACATGCTCGCGTCGAACCCACAGCCTGTAGTGCCCGCGAATAATAATAATAATAATATTATTATTATTATTATTATTATTATTATTATTATTATTATTATTAAGACTGATCAAATGACCAAGATCATCAAGGCAGTAGTGCCGTACCGGTCTCGGACCAGAAGATCGCAGGTTCGAATCCCACCTCGGGTATGGATGTGTTTGGGAATGTCTGTATGTGTGTGTCGCCCTTTCACCCCTCACTATCATAATTTCATCGTTCATACCCCCAGAGCTAACAACCCTTGGAAATAAAAATCAGATCTAGCTAAATGCTGGACCCATGATACATTACAAGCACCTTACCACCGAGAAAATGTTACTGAGCTCCGGTAAATGCAAGGTGCATGCACGTGTGCTCCAAGTCGGCCTATAATCCTTCAAGTCAGCTAATAATAATAATAATAATAATAATAATAATAATAATAACAATAATAATAATAATAATAATAATAATAATAATAATAATAATAATAATAATAATGTGGCCTGCAGCAGCAATACGGTTAAACAAAACAACGTAATGTTGAACAAAACAACGTAATCTCCAAAAAGAAGTACACATACTGTTCAAGAACAACAAATAAAATACTCTCACATTACACTGCAATAAATTAAATAGTATATCTTCATGAATCATACGATCAGCTTCATGAACCATACAATAGCATTCATCAAAAAATCTTCACGAATAATACAATCATTTAGCACATTACATACCGCCACAAAATACAACGGTTCTTTACGTACCAAGAATATCAAAAAAGTTGCTGGGTCACTCTGACAGACTGCCGGGCCAGACTGAACTATATGTCGGTCATGAAATACCCACCATTCAGTTTAAAAAAATATTTTCATAAATATGCGTTTTAACTATGGACGTAAGGCGCTGGTCTGCTTAAAGGAAATTCGGCGGTTAAAGTACCATACCGGACGAACTTCTGCCCCGTACGTCCGATCCCTTGCTGCCCCGCCCACTTTGCAGGTTTCGCCTCGCGGAAAAGATAGATTGCTTACTTAGATGCTTTGATGATTGCTTGAAATAATTTTGTGAAAACAACACAATTTGGGGTAAACCTATTGAATCGAATTTGTAAAACACACTTTTCATCGATTCATTCGATATAATATACTACAAAGGGATCACTCACTATCTAATTATTGTTAAGACCTTGAAATATTAAATCGACTCCGAATTTTTCCAAAAGCATGTTTTTTCATTTTTTCAGATTCAGACGGTGTGCAAATTTTTGCTTTCCATGGTAATGTGAACAAAGAAATGGCGAATCGTGAAGCTGGAGAGATGTCTGTTGATATTCTGCGCCCCAAAAATGGTCGTTGGGTGTACGAAAATCCCCGAATACGACTGAAAGTAGGCGATGTAATTAATTATTGGTTGTATGTGCAAGTAGATGGATTAGGTTACCCTAAAGATGATTTAACGTGGAAAGTGACAGGTATATTAAGACTTAATGATAAATACATTTGATTGCAAAATTCAATGTTTATTTTTATTATTATGTTTTTACAGAGCTTGTTGACAAAGATTCATCGCAGGCTACAACTCCTTCAACACCAACGCCAGGAAAATGCGAATTGTCACATACTACAGTAAATGGTGTTCGTAAATGTGAAAACGAACTAGTATTTGAAGAAACTTTCGATAATTTGCAGCGACCAAAATGGGAAAATGTTGTGCAGTTTGGTGGAGACCCAGTATGTAATACCTGATGGATTTTGACCTTTTGATAATAAAATTTGCAGTAATCACTTATTTAATTATATAACGATATAACTTGATATATTAACGCCATTCTTACAAGAAATTTAAAGAAAATATTGAGCCGTTTTTGATAAAATTTTGAAAATGCCCGGGCAGCTTTTTGTTAAGTACCACCCAATTTAAAATATTTTTTCAAACTCTTAAAAATTCGACATCAGCCAGATCGACACGGATTTATTAAATTTGAAAAAAAAAAAATACGCATGATTTAGGCGCTAGTACTGTTCACAGACATTGGACGTACGTACGTACGTACGGGCGTTTGAAAAAACCTCTCATGCAGGCAAAGTTCAACTTAGTGAGCAGACCATCAGGCCTTCTATTTCGCCTGAACACGCAAATTTTGCTACGCTCCTTTCGCTATCTAGCAGAGAAATAAGATATTTTACGAAACACGAATATTGAAAGTTGATATTCAGTACAAATTTTGATATCCCACGCGACGAAATATGACGTGCAGGAAAACAATCTTAACAATCTTAGAAATAATTTGACATATGTGCCAAATAACATCTGAAAATAACCCTAAACACGGATTTTAGACTTTCCCTCCCCATTGTGTATTATGCGGATAAAAAGTAATAATGGTATACAAATAGTTGTAGAATATACTCCATAATGTTTCAAAAATACAATTTATCTTCTTTCTCTCTTTTGACTGTTGATACCACCCAGATTTTGTGTGCGCTCGCTCGCGTGTGTGTATGTGTGGAGAAAATGTGAGATTGCCTAAACTCACACAGGTAATTAATATTTTGACCAAATTATTCAAATTTATGTTGGCTAACAATTGTTCTGTTTTTCAGGGATATCCTTTTGTCTTGTACACTAACAAAGACGACAACTGTTTTGTCCGTAATGGATTCCTGCATATTAAGCCAAGTCTTCAATCCGACGATGACGTTACTTCAGGCGCGCAGCATCTCAGTGGGTAAGAAATTCTTTGACATTTTGAAATTCCACGTGACCGAAGCACATAATTCATCCCCTCTGTCAATTCAAATTATGGCGTGACGGAAGGTAGGTAGGTAGGTAGGTAGGTAGGTAGGTAGGTAGGTAGGAGGTGGTAGGTAGTCGGTAGGTCGGTCGGTCGGTCGGTATGCGGTATGTCGGTATGTCGGTATGTCGTCGTCGGTCGATCGTCGGTCGGTCGGTCGGTCGGTCGGTCGGTCGTCGGTCGGTCGGTCGGTCGGTCGGTCGGGTCGGTCGGTCGGCGGTCGGTCGGTCGCGGTCGTCGGTCGGTCGGTCGGTCGGTCGGTCGGTCGGTCGGTCGGTCGGTCGGTCGGTCGGTGGTCGGTCGGTCGGTCGGTCGTCGGTCGTCGTCGGTCGTCGGTCGGCTGGTCGCGTCGGTCGGTCGGTCGGTCGGTCGGTCGGTCGGTCGGTCGTCGTCGGTCGGTCGGTCGGTCGGCTCGGTCGGCTCGGTCGGTCGGTCGGTCGGCGGGTCGGTCGGTCGGTCGGCGGTCGGGTCGGTCGGGTCGGTCGGTCGGTCGTCGGTCGGTCGGTCGGTCGGTCGGTCGGTCGGTCCGGTCGGTGGCTCGGTCGGTCGTCGGTCGGTCGTCGGTCGGTCGGCTCGTGGTCGGTCGGTCGGTCGGTCGTCGGTCGGCGTCGGTCGGTCGGTCGGTCGTGGTCGGTCGGTCGGTCGGTCGGTCGGTCGGTCGGTCGGGTCGGTCGGTCGGGTCGGTCGGTCGGTCGGTCGGTCGGTCGGTCGGTCGGTCGGTCGGTCGGTCGGTGCGGTCGTCGGTCGTCGTCGGGTCGGTCGGGTCGGTCGGGTCGATCGGTCGGTCGGCTCGTCGGTCGGTGGTCGTCGGTCGGGTCGGTGGTCGGTCGTCGGTGCCGTCGGTTCGGACGGAAAGGGACGGACGGACGGACGGACGGACGGACGGACGGTAAAAATGTTCAATGTAATCTGAGTAAAAGCAAAATGAATTTCTGGAAATTCTTACAGAAAACATCGTACTTTACGTACAATGACGTGCAGGAAAACAATTTTGGCACTTTCTTGTCATTTAATGAAAACCCTTATTGAATCAGTACTAGAACATTCATCAATTAAACATCCGTCTTTTTATTAGTACTTGGTAGGTTAATTTAGTTATTGAGTACAGCGCGTTGGATTATTGAATTTCGCTGAAGTTATTGTATAAGTAATTATTGAATATATTTTCGTAATCAAAATTACGAAAACCAAGCTGTCAATAAATAATATCGTATTTTAGGTAGCGAGAGCCAGTCCATCAGGCCTGCTTTTCCGCCTGATCATGCAACTTTCGATACGCTCCTTTCGTTATCTCGCAGAGAAAAGTGTCTCTCGGGCGACGAAACTTGCTATTTGATTAGTTCAGAGACTTCTTTTACTCTCGAGAGTTTTACATGCAGTTAATCTAGAACATGGGACAGATGTCTTTACTTCCCTTTCCAGCCCTCCGAATACGGGTGTACAAAATTTTTCTCCCTTCTGTCAGGGGGGGGGGGACGTTTGCAACCTCCACCAAGAACTTGGGACCTTTCAGCCGTCGTTCCCTCCTGCGAGGACACACACAATGGGGAACAGAAGGCACGGCGTCTTTGTGTCGATCGGACCCCTCACTGTGCAGCGTTCTATTCCCAGAGTTTCCCCGCGCCTCATAGCCGAACCCACCTGAGTTCAGCAGCCAAGCGGAGAGGGTGGAGCGGGTAGCGTCGACGGACGGTCCGACGGGGAAGGCATTTGATTACAAAACTTCTTTCACGTATGCCAATTATATTGATATAACTGGTATATAACTGATGGTTATAACCCGACGATCGACAAGATATTACCGAATTGAATATAAATCACAAGTCGTCTTCCAATTAGAACTAGAACGACACTGTTTCTACTTACATTTTTACTGAAAAATAATATAATTGAAAACGAAACTTCTTTCACTAAAATTTTATTCGTCTACTTTTTAAGGGTAAAGTATTTTATTGCATAATTAAGGTCTATAGCTTCATATATCTCTTGCTCAATAGACAAGATAGCCAGATTGGTTAGCATTAAAAAACTCATTGTTCTAAAATAATTTTGATCAATTTCAATTTTGAAAAACTCCCCTCGCAGCTGGCTGACATTGCTTGTGGCAATTGTGAGGAATATTCGGAGCATTACAATCATATTTGGCAGAATATCTTCCAGCTTGGATTTCACAATAAATTTTAAAAATTCAAGCGCGTTCGCATGAATCAATTTATTTTAGTTGCCTGTGGCAGCAATAAACGCCCGCAGTCGAAGTCGTTCTAGCTTGAAGTCCTGCTCGACAATTTCGGCAGATGCATAGTGTAGATTACATTATTAGTATCGACCGAATCTAATAATATAGCTTGCGTAAAATAAGTAAACTTACCCGCCAAATTCCTAAGCTGCTGAAATCGCTCAAGAATTTCTACAGATTTTCTCTCTAACGAAGAAAACAGCTTCTATCTCAATTCATTTTCACAAGACAGTAGGCATATCTGATTTAGTCATCAAAACTGTCAGTAAAAGGTGCTATTCTTTATGTAATAGAAGTCACTCTCACTAAATATTAGTAATAAGCAATCCATATTATAGTCAAAAGCAATCAAAGCACCAAATATATTTGGGAAATCCTATACGTCGGTACAGACGGTGTTGCCAGACTCAACAATGAGCAAGATGTCATTATTTCATTTAAAGACGTCGTCATAGAATAAGTAAAGAAAGATTCCGTGCTCATTTCAATCGTCCGATGAAATTAAATGTTCAAATTTTTACAATATATTATTATTTATTGTGATATTTTGCCGCTCCTAAAAGTGCTTCCGGGAGAGCGCCATGCCGGGGGAGAACTTTACAAAGTAAAATATGTCCGGTTCTATTCACTTCGTTTTTATACAGGACTATCACAATGTCAACAAACACTGTACAATACATCACTTCAGTGTAAATAAAATAATATTGTGCCATTTGTCATCTAGAGCCCCTTTTTTTCAGTTGTACTGGCACACCGAACAGTGAAGAGTGCACTAAGCGAGCTGCAGGAGGATTCTACCTCCCACCTGTGTTTTCAGCTCAGTTAAGAACAAAACAATCCTTCAGTTTCTGTTACGGGAAAGTGGAAATAAAAGCAAAACTTCCGGTTGGAGACTGGATTTTTTCAGGTAGTTATTTTTGCAATTATTTAGACTGTACGTACATACAGTTCCAATGTGAAAGAGTTCGAATTATTCACGAGTCTAAGAAATATTAATCTTAGTGGAAGGTGGTGAATTGGAAATTTTCTCAAGAAGGGACGTTAAAAAAGTGAACAATCAGAGATGCCACAATAAAACCAGCATTTGCGTGCTTTTTCATGTGACTATTGATGTGAAGAATAAGATGCACACAATTGGCCTCTGATTGTTACCTTGATCGTAGGCCCCATCCCCAATGCAACTGGGCCAATTCTCATTACTCGTATAATGTTTTTTCTGAACATGTCAAATTAAGCATTATTAGTTATAATTTAAGAGTTTGTTAAAACTTTCTTAGGGAATTTTAATGTGATTTACTTACCGAGAAATGTAAAAATAACATTCAAATTCATAACTAGGGTAAAATTAAGACGATAAAAATGAATGGAATTTTAGTCATTCCATATACAGCACATGTATTGAATAAGAGGTGCGTGAAGTTGGCACCCCCACTTACTCGAAAAATGAAACGACTACTCCAAAGTTTTACCCAAGTTCGCATAACCTTTAAAAAGCTTTGCCCAAGTCACACAACGCCCGAAATCGTAAAACAATTTTGAACTTTAAAGTGACTAGCGCCCTGACTAGCAAATTTCGAAATTTTGAACACACCATTGTTTCACCAAGTGTTGCCCTCTTTGCAAAAAGTTTTTCTCAAGACACACAATGTCGGAAATCGCAAATCAAATTTTGGATTTAAAAGAGACTTGCACCCCCACTTGCGAATTTCAAAATTTGTACACGATCGTTTAGCCTAAGATTAGCCCATGTTTGCCGAACCTTTAAAAAGTTTTGACCAAGTCACACAACGAAATTTGCCATTGGTGGTGCTAGTTACTTTAAACACCAAAGTTTGATTTGTGATTTCAGGCGTGATGTGACTTGGACAAAACTAGGGCAAAACTTTGTTGTATGTCATTTGATTTTTCGAGAAAGTTTGGGGGCCAACTTCACGCACCTCTGAATGAGATTTAATGTAAATACGATTTACATTAAAACCTCGCTTTTTTAGTGTAGCAATAAATATACTAGAGAAACATGAGAAAAATCTACATTTAACCATTAAGATATTAAATTGTGTTTTTTGAAAGATTGATGTGTGCAGTATTCAGATAATTTTCTGATTGAATCTTGTATCCTAATTAAAGTGGACATTTTTAATACTGAGAGTTCAAAATATCCTTGTGATACGTATTGAAAATACCCTTAATATTTCCTCCTGATTATTTATTTAATTTGATCTCCTCTTATATTTGCGATTATTTGATGCCAATACTAAGATTTATGTTCACTCTTTATATAGTTTTAAGTTGCCCTGCTCTGCTCATATCTCTATTTTATAATTAATTATTTCAATAACATTTCCTTTTAATATTTTATTACCTGTTAGCATCGACATACGACGAACTGTAGCTTACTTGGTCATATGTAGACGTACAGATTACAGATTACTAAAAATCCGTACAGATTTCTAAAAATTTCTGTTTGATTAAGAAATTCTTTGATTGTTTACAATTAACCATAAATTATGAACCTCGTTTTCAAACAAACAATACACTATTTATTGCAATTCAGTTGCTAACATTGCCCAATGAGCTCATTTTATTTTAATTATGATTCTCGATTATAATCCTTCCTCGTCCAAATCAGTTTAAATGTTAGTTGCTTGCTTAAATCTTCGCGTGCATTACGTATATCCTATCTCGCTCTGCTCGACGCGATATTACACGGTGTGAGTTGCTAAAGAAAAATGTCAAACCGCGATTCTACCATATTGTTGCCCGGTTCGCCGGAGAGTTGCCAGAAATTGATACGCATACGTGATACTTCCCTATCCTTCGCATCGACCGGGGGTCTAACCGCGTCACTTCCTAATATTTACAAATAGAAATTTACAAGGAATGAAATGGGTACGATTTGTTCCCTAATCTAATTTTCGGTCGCACACCTTGTCCGTTTCTATTTAACACACGAACTATATATTAATATTATTCAAATAATTTGTGTATTATTCGGGTAATAATGATGATAATATGCCAGCCCACTCCCCTCCTAAGTTCAACGTTATCTCCTAACTAAAATATTACCACATCACCCACCACGTGTCCCATCTAATAATCACCCACAACGTACAGGACATGGGTTCGGCTCGACGGTCGGCGGTCAAAGAGGGAGATCCTCGCCTTGTATTCACAGTTACGCCTCACACACATATCATTTCTTTTCGTTACCAGGGGCTTTGATTCCCCCACCCCCACCCCGATTCGACTGTTATAATAATTAATTTGCTGCGGCATTCATTTTTCACAGGATTGTTTATTTATGCCCGCTACCATAGCAACCTGTCCGTGCATCTACATATGCATAAACTTAAACTTATCAATAAAATATTCAATAAATATTATCGTACTGTTTATACTGTTAAAAGAGGGGTCGTTGCAATATTAATACAACCGGTTTGCTATTTTTAGAATGGATAAAACTATAAGTAAATAATAAAGGAAAATAAAATCAAATTATATATGTAAATCTCTTTTTGAAAAAATACAATATAATAAAATATATTTCATGAATACAAATAAATAGATAATGTGAGTTGAAAAGCATTTAATATAACACATTATTATGATTAATTGATTTTATTTGATGTTGAAACGAATTCGCTTTATAAAGCCCTCTATCTAATTTATATTAAGTGTATCAATTAATGATATTATTATTTATTTACAACAATAAAATATTTCTTAAAGAGCTTTTGCTGCAACCTAAGGAACTGGCATATGGATCTAAACCAAAACTCACATCTGGACAAATAAATCTTGCACTTCTGAGAGGAAACAAGGATTTAGTGAGTAATGGGCAACAAATTGGTGCTAAATGTCTTCACGGAGTTTGTGAATTGGCTATGAATGATGTATGCCACAGAGAGGATTTTAATGAAACAAGGCAGTCTTTATGGAGTGGTGCCTTCCATGTCTATGGTGCAACGTGGACTCCTGGTATGTGAACATTTCCTTGAAAAAATATAGTCAATTTTCTATTAATTTGTCATTTCATGCTTCATTTGACATTTTTAGATTATATCGCTTTTACTGTTGATGGAAGTGAAATTGGAAGAGTTGTTCCTCCTAGAGGAGGCTTACATACTGTGAGTGAATTTTCAAGCTTCCCTTCTAATCCTTGGGCAACAGGTACTAAACTTGCCCCCTTTGACAAAGAGGTATGCAATTAGACTATTAAACCACTGGAATGTATATAATTTATATCATTATTAGTATTGTGAATAATTATTTTTGTTGTGATTTTCAGTTCTACATAGGTCTAGGATTAGGTGTTGGTGGTTTCACTGAATTTCCGGATGATTCCACGAGTGGCAGTTACAAGAAACCGTGGAAGAATGGTGAAGCAAAGGTATCTAATTAGGACAACTGAGCTAGAACATAAAGAATAAAAAAAGATTCATTTTGTTGTTGTTATTATTATTATTACTATTATTATTATTATTGATAGTATTACTATTATTGATATATTTGCTCCGCATTTTAAACCGTTTATTTGCGGATGTCCACGGCTTCCTGGCCAGTGGAAGTGCCTGACGGAAGTGCAGGTACGATGAGCTCTCATGAGGTGTTTGGTATGTCGATCCAAAATACCCAGAACTGCTGGCGTTTCGTCAATTCTAGCAATCTGTTTGCCGACATTTTGCCGAGGTTTTGGCATTTTGAATTGGGTTTATTTGATTCCAGGAAGCTTTCAAACATCACCTAGTATCCCGACAAGGCATAGCTTAAAGTATTGATGGAAAATATTTGCTACTTACTAAAGGTCTATTTATTTGTAGATAGACTCAATAGGTGTTCCTTGTTTTGCCATCTTGTCTGGGAGTATAATATTCCAGGTGCTGGGTATTTGACCTCGGTGGTTACTGAGATTGGCGAACTTGTCTACTCTGAACTTCAATGCGAAATCTCTAATAAATACCCGTACTGTGTTCAGCAGCGACTCCAAATTAATTTCAGACGCGCCGTACAAGAAGAGGTTATCCGTAAAGAGGAGGTGGGAGAACTTAGGATTCGACTTCGATGCTTGATACAAGAGTTGGATCGTCCTCAGGGCAATTGTTGGGGGTATTGACTCTGGTCACGCTGCATTTCGTAGCTTCTCTTTCCTGGAATTCCGATAAGCCGATAATGCCGAAACCACCCAATCAGTTCCGCGTGTGAGTCCATCCTTGGTTTCTTTCACATCCTGTTATCACAACTGGACCATTTCTTCTCCTTTTCCCTTGCATCTTTGTGTACTCCGTACGCTAAGCGCCGGATTATATAATTTTATATTTTTGTAATAGAAAGTAAGCTTAGCACTAGATATACTCTTCTAAAACCGAATTACCTTACTTTGAGATAAAATAACATTAGAATAGAATAACATTAACATAGAATTTGACAAAAAATCATATTATCCCGTCGCGTTTTTTGAAATCCTCTTTGCGATGGTTAGCTGGCCGGAGTCAACTCTGTGCTCTTATCTTGTCTCCACTTCTGCAGTTCTTCCAGGTGCACTTAATTGCACAGCCGGAGATCCGTCATTCTTTAATCCATTTTCATCGTAAGTCCAGGAATCCCAACATCCGACGCAGTCTTTGTAACGTCAATGACCACCGAGGCAGTATGGTTCTATTCTTATTCGAATACTTCTTATAGAAAGTTTGCCTTGTTATCCCCCAAGGACTCTTCTATTTTATATTATGAGTGATGCTAATGATCTAAAAGTCTGTTTTTTCTCATTTCTAGTACTCATCCCAGATGGATAGCTCGCGTTATCTTGACAAGCCTGATCTGAATTTACCTACCACTTGCCTCTTCATGGCCCTCATTTCTTATTTCTTCGAGATATTCCGTTTCAGGAGATTTGAACTTGATTCTTAGACAGTTTCTTGATTTAATCGGGCCCATTATTATTATTATTATTATTATTATTATTATTATTATTGATGCTCGTGAGTAGTCCGACTTGGACCTCTCGGTGCTCAGAAACATCTCGGTGGCAGGTGTATGTAATTTTTAACAGGGGATCAGCATTTAGCTGGATCAGATTTTTATTCCCCATGGTTGCTAGCGCTGGAGGTGGAATTATGATAGTGAAGGGTGAGAGGACGACACGCATACATACACAAATACACCCATGCCCGAGGCGGGTCTCGAACCCGCGATCTTTTGGTCCGCTACGGCACTACTGTCTTAATTATCTCGGTCATCTTATCGTCTATAATAATAATAATAATAATTATTATTATTATTATTATTGTTGTTGTTGTTGATATATTATTTCTTTTGTTATTGTTAATGTTATTATCATCCATTTTTCTTTTAAAGGCAATTGCGAAATTCTGGAATAAACAAAGTGAGTGGTATCCTACTTGGAATGATGCTGACTCGACTCTTCAAGTGGATTATGTTAGAGTTTGGGCCCTTCCCAAAAACTTTTGATGCAAAAAGTGGAGAAGGAGGAAAAAGTCAATTGAACTACTTAATACCAGTTAACATCTGAATATGAAAGTAAATGAATCCAGAAAATTATTCAAGATATTTAGAAAAAATGTTTGAAACTGTTTCATCCAAAATTATACTTTAAAATATCGACATGACAAAAAATAAATTGTTTGAAATGTGTTTATCAATAATTTATAACAATAAAAGATGTTTTAAATACTTATTGAATTGATAATTTGAATGTCTAATAATTTGGTTGTTTACCATTAGTGACAATTAAACATCTTAAAACAAAGCAGTATTATTTTATCAAGAATCTAGTGGTACTTCAAAAACACATACTTTCTCGCATTATTTGTAACGGTTTCACGATATAATACACTATATAAACCTTCAAAATTGTTTCCAACCAGCAAATACTTTTCTCAGTGCTGAGATTTGAAAACAGGATCTTAGAGGTAACACGCCATTCACAACTCCCCTTCACCCCTAGTCTCCCGACTCCGATCGAGTTTACAAAACGTTGAAGGTTTTAATTTGCAATTATCAAGATTCGGAGATTTTCATTTATATTATTTCAATATTTACTTGCAAAACATTTCATTAAAAAATAAATCTCCATCAATATTGTAATTTTGTTGTTATTTTTTGTTTTCAATTTTCGAAAATATAGAGAGTATGCTGAATATAAGATTTGTGCTGTTTTTAAGTGCCATGTGCTTTATAGAACAAAAAATTTAATGAACGAATTTGTAGCAATTTTTGAGATTTTTTACTTTCTCGTATACGAACAAATATGCGGAGTAATAAACGTTGTGTTGAGAAAGTTATGTAATGCTGCAGAAAATCGATATCGTCATTACAAACTGAAATACACGTTTCGGGTACCCTGATACATAAAACGCTCTGTAACCTGTTTTATGTGAAAAAAAATTAAAATAATTATTAAAATTAAATGCATCCATAACAAAAATGCGCTTATCTTCTTGCCCCAACGTCGCTAACGTACTACTCGCGCACGTTTTCTTGATAAGCGAGGTCCCTAGTCCTCGCCTAGCGCCGAATAGCACGGCAGGTCGAGATACTTGGATTCGTCTCGGAACGGCACGTACCAATTTACAGTGCTGGCAACAAACACCTCGTACTTTCAAAACAATCGTAGCATTTATCGTGGCATTTATCATGGCACGCTTTGACGAGATAAGTTCATGCTCACAGTTGGTACGTCCTTTTATGCCGTGACGTAACCTGAACCCTCCTCTCCCCGCACCCTCCAATCCCACAGTGGAATATCAAGAAAACTTGCGTGTTTAGTAGATAACTGTCCGCTCTACAACGGCGCCATCTGGAAGTAATATTTATATTAAAGTTTATATTTATATTAGTTCACATGGCTTCTATATTCTCCTTCAAAGAAGGCACTGTACTGTACTATATGCCGTCTTTTTTCTTCAACAAATAGAATTTTTGGTTCATACGAAGGGTACAGCGATAGGATACATGTAAACAGTGCTATTAAACAGCACGTAAAATTGTCCAATTCATATACAATGTATGCTTACGTTAACCGAAGCATAATTTTCGAACGCATTGACACGGGATTAATATTGCAGCCCGAGTCGAAGATAGATTTCTGAAGGTATATTCTACGAAGAGTCATTGCAATAATAAAATTGTTGGCTTCGCGAGTGCTTGGACTTAGAGGTGAAAATCAGATTATTGGTTCACAGCATAATGGATTTTTGTATGGCGCCTGGAGTTGATTAGTCAATTTGATCCGTTCTTCGCTGAATACCTAAAACATCAAGGAAACCTAGTAAAAGGACAGTAACTAGTATTTGTCATATGCCATTTGTGACGATATAACTGATATTATGGGACAACTTGTAACAAAAGTACTTTTTGAATTAAAGCAAGCGAAGTACTAGTAGTGCAGTCGATAAGTCATTTAGCCTTCCAAAAGATGGGGTACAAGATTTAATTTTTGTATTGTTATAAGTAAGAAAACCCTAAGTTTTCCACTTCGAAATACTTTGGGTCCAGTTTTGGTAGCCCCCAAAAAATTCGAGCATGTTTTGTTTTTGCGTAATAACTTTTTAATTGTTGATGTTTGTGCAAATCGGTTAGGTACAATTTTAAAGGTCATACAAGTCTCTACAAATTTGATGTTTAAATTATTTTCCTCAAGTAAGTAACAGAGCTATGAAATTTTAAAATTTCACCAAATTTTCCTTTTTATTCTGAAGTTGCCCAAAATTACTAATGGTCTCTCTAATATAGTATTTTTGAATTCCTAGGGTCATTAAGACGTATTGATAACGGACAACAAACAGAACATGTTGTATATTTTCGAAATGTTGAGTGCAAAATATAAAATTACTTCTGGAATCGGATCAAGAAATACAAAATCTCAGATGCTTGATCTTTAAAACATCGATTGACCCATTCACAAGTGTATCAAATAAAGGAATTTCTACCAGCAAACAATTTATTACATTACTTGTGTATTGAATCGGTCATGATACGATGCCTTTCTTTGAGTCAGGGACTTTAAAACTCAAGAACGGTGCAATTGATTAATGAAAGAAAAAATGTATATCGTTGACACATGCCGTCGTATCGACAGTAAGACTTCCTTTTTAACAGGTGCATATGTATACACGAAGTTTGGATCAAAGCTCCTTATTGATATCTTAATTGCTATTGGATTCGCTTCATCTTACTTTGAAACTCCTTTATATATTCAAGTATACTTGAATGTTCTGTTAAATAAAGAATTAAAACTAAATAATGAGCCATTCTGTGAGTTCATATTTGACAACGCGGATTGTAATTTGAACACATTGCATGGTCTAATAAACGCAACACTTTAAGTGTAGATGTCGTTGTTCTAGTAATCCTTTTCATCCCAGGGGAGAAATAATGACAATAATTCCCCAATCTTCAGTCGAGCTTCTCCTAAGACCAAATCCTCGTCAGCAATGCGTGTTATTTGCTGATCCCATTCTTATTGATGGCTTTCAGTTGCATTGATTATTGATATCAACGAAAACTTCATAATCTTGTGCATACAATTTCTTTGTGTATAGGACAGTTCTTTTTGGGATTACATAAATGCAATCGTATTCTCATTCCCACACAGGAAACAATAGGTTTTGAAACTGAAGTATATAAACTGAATATCTATTATGTGATATAAGATCTGCCGATATATCTGGTTGAGTCTGCTTCCTTTCCATTCGAGTTGACGCAGAAATCTACGAGTAGCATGACAAGATTTATGTACAGCCACGTCCTCCCACAAGAATTATATTTTAAACTGACACGACCCCTTTCCTTTCTTCTTCATCACAACCACTTTACCTTCGTCCAAACTCCTATCCCCCCCCATATAAAACACACTCCCGACACATATCTAAACGTTATTTATTACAAACCTCCCGTTCAAAAAAGGTCGAGAGGGAAACGAGCCATATAGCAGTGATGTAAAAGCAATATAGAGAATATATGGTGTGGGCGAGATTTGAGATTTCAATCTGTTGTAAATGATAATCACCATAATGTCCTAGCGTCATAGTGGTATATATTACCACTATTATCCTTCTTGGAGATGAGACAGCCATGTTGCACAACAGCATTTCGTAAGTAATAATACCATTATTATTACAATAATTAAATAATTAGAAGAAAATAACGAACGCCATTTCATTCTACTGAAATACTTTTGATGTAAGAAAATCGTGTTAATTGGCAAAACGTGTAGGTCTACTGTCACTTGTACCAACTATCAAACGCGAGATTAACCTCAGTAAGTATTAAAATCATTAGTATTTAATCGCTTTTATTAGGGATTCAAAAATACGACTTTAGAGTGATCATTAGTAATTTCGCTCAACTTCAGAATAAACAGGAAAATTTGATGAAATTTTAAAATCTCGTAGCACTGTTACTATTTGCTTGAAAAAATAATATATAACGCAAATTTGCAGAGAATTTTATGACTCTTAAAATTGTACCTGACTATTTTTGCACTAACATCAACCATCGCGCGTGCGCGCGAGAGAGAGACGGAGAGAGAGATGAGAGAGAGACAGAAAGACAGAGTCAGAGAGACACAAGACAGAGAGAGACAGACAGAGGGAAACAGAGCGAAGAGGCAGAGAGAGGGAAGAGAGATACAAAGAAATGGACAGAGAGTGAGTTCGCGATCATGCGATATCGACACGACCGAGAAACGCGAAATGCCGTGACACATCCCATCGTGAAGATAGGCCTTGGCGCACCACTTTATAAAACCGAAGTATAAGTGTGATTATTCCACCACCTGGAAGCTACAGATATTGTAATGCGACATACAGTATGATCTATAAGATTTAGCAATTCGTTGAAAGGTGTTGTCTTAACTTTTTAGTAGAATATCTTTTGTCATATTGATACACTAAGAAAATAGACATGTTATTATTAGTCAGTTCATTTTGACATTGTCCTCTGTATTCTGATGGTGGTATTTTGTCTGCATTAATAAGGATTTTGTAGTTAAGTCGAACAGAAGGAATCGTTAGCGAAGTAATTTTCAAATTCGTTTTTTAGGGGATGTATTCGTTAAAATCGTCAATTATGGAAGTATTTAAATTGAGAAATGAGATAACCTTGCATCGTTTCTTGGTTCATGAACATTAATAATAAAATAATTTGCAAAAATGTCTTTACTTTTTTCGAATGAAATAAATAAGCCTATTCGACGATACACCGCAGGCCCTGGAATTTTAAAGATAAAACCACCCTCACGTATTTGACGCCAAAATAAGTCTCCTTTTCTAAACTATTCTAACTATTCTACTTCTAAAGCGTGATAACACCATAATGTAATTGTTCCATGAAATTGACTTCCTCAAGAGTTATTTCGAAATGTTTTTCTGTCGATTTGTCGTAATGCATATTTTTAAAATCGTTTTGAACATCGTACGAGGTTGTCGGCAAACTCGTATTTATCTGTTGCATATCCGGGTCTCTTGGCGTATCCTGATTTCTCATATAAAAATTATCGTCTTCCCGACATTCTTTGAAGACACAACGCTGGTCCCCGCCGCCCAGACGCAGCGACCGGCTCGACGACACCGCGGGGCTCTTCTCGGAGACGAGCACCCACGGCCGCCTTAATCCGGGCAACTCCATAGGCCCTCCACTTATTTAGTTCATTTCCCGTGAAAGGAAATTCTTCGCTTTGTATTCTTGTATTCCTTGTTTTCTACAACTTCTGTGTCTTCCTCCTATCGTTCTCTTCGAATAATGTCTTTAGGTATTGGAGTTTAAACAACGCCATCTGCATAGATCTATTTAGGTGGCGTTGGTTTAATTCCTGGCTTACCACGATTGCAGCGCCAAAACACGAAAAAAAACACGCTTATAGAAATGTCTTATAATCTTATGGCCGGATCCGAAAACAAATTGTCTGTTTCCCATCAGGAGGCCGAGGCGCTTCGAATGGCACCTCATATCGCTCGATTGGTACACGGGAAGAGGTCTAACCGTGAGTGACGGTACCGCGCACTTGAGGAGTTACTCAAATACTATAGAGGGATAGGGATTTACATTTCATGTTGATAGATTCAGTAGAGTTTTCGTGCAATCGGTTTGTAGGCAACTATTGATTTGACGCGAGATTCGTTTTAGTAATAGAATAGGTAGGTTGAAAAAGTATTTAAAAACTGGAAATTCGAAAATAACAGACCGACACTTCCGATTATATACATGTGTATTAATTACAAAGGCACCCTCCCCCAAAATTCGTAGTTAGATCCAAAGACTTGACTCGTGTTTCCCTATGTA